AAGTATTCTCACCGATAACGTTTGATTGAATTAGTTGCACCGGACCTGCTGCTCCTTTAGCTCCTAAGCACAGATTTTCAAACTTCTTCAGGTAGCGATGATGATGTACTGTTCTTTACATTCTCAATACAAGTTTACTGGAGGAGAAAAGTGTTTCTTAGGTAGATATTGAAATGTAATGCATAAGCAGAAAGGATATAAGACTTAAAATATACCAAAAGTCTTACTGTATGTTCTTCACATATGGCTTTTGAAATCCTATATGGTTTTACACATCTGAATTTAGTTGTGTATTTTTTGAAATGACACTGGACAGTTGCTCTGCTCGAGGCTTGGTTCTGATGTCACATGGGTCTCTTCTAGGCCATTACTTGGCCTGTCTTGGTGGGACAAGAGCCTGTTGTCTGACTGCCAGTCGCTTGACAGCAGCATCCTGTTAAAAGCGTCTCATTTGTGCTGTATAGTATTTTCCAGGTACTCCCATATGGGAGACTGTTCTGAAAAATAATGTTTTTCTGGCATTTTTGAAATACCATTCAGGTGGCTGCCTCCTTGCTTTGAAAGAGGTGGAAGAAGTGATGGTGTCTGAAGAAAGTCAGTCAGCTGACAACTTGGCTGCAACAGTCATTTCTGAAGATCCTCACACTGTTTTGGTTGAGTTTTCTTCAGTGGTGGCGGACACTCAGGAATACATCATTGAGGTAAGAAGTGAAGCAAACAGCCTTCTCATTCTCAACGCAGTATGGTATTTTGTCAGGAGAAACTGCAGTTGTGCATGTTCCTCATCTAGGCTTTTGGGAGAAGGTAAAACAGGATCTAGCCAATGCTACCCCTGCCTGCATGACCCTAGGAGTAAGTAGGGTTAATCTTGTTCAGAAGGAGAGTGCCTGGAACCTACTTCATCCTTCTGAAGTCCTGCATGTAATGTAGGCAGGAAAAGGAGAATGCAGGGCAGATTGATGGTAGTTCATCAGAAGGCTGAGACTGAGAACTTCTGACTATACCAGATTTTATGTCCTCACAAACTTGCCGCAGCTTTTTCTCAACTTTTACCTACTTTTTTCTCTCATTTCTATTTAGCTTATTTTCTGTGAAATAATCTCTGTTGGTTTTAACTGGCTGTAGCTGCCAAAAGCACTGAATTGTGCATTTTGCTTTCTCCCTCTTCATAACAAAGAGCCAGTACTCATCTGTGCAGAATAACACAGTTCATTTATTGAGTCCCTTAAGTGCTGCCATAGTTTTTCTCCAATAGGAGAAAAATCTGCTAGTTGGCTGAGTCCTGCCGAAAGAGGATGTTCTCCTTCAGTTATTTGTGAGCTCTCTGCATTACTTTTAACTGGTTCTTGATAATGGGATTTGGAGGAGTTGCCTTTAGAGTAGCTACTGTATCGTGGGGGGGGAACAGAAAGACTTTTGTAAAAGATCTTCGTGTCTTGTATCTTGGTAATAAAAGATTTTTTTGTAATAATCTAAAAAGGGAATCATCATATTTTGTCTTTCAAGACTGCTACTGAAGACATGGAGACCAGTGAAGCTACTGAAATAATAGAGGGAACAAGACATGAGGTAAAGCTGCCACATAAACTATTATTTTGGGGACTTGCTGTAGCTTAAATGAATCACTTTTAGTGTCTGAAAGGCATGCTAGATGAACCCAGCCTCTGTAGTTGTGCAGACTTGTCTGTATAAAACCATAATACTGGGTTCGACCAAGCTCTGTTAACCTTAGATCCTCTCAGTGATAGTGGCTAGCGACTTGCGTGCCTTCATACATGAGAGTGCAGCTGCCAGCTGTACAGTAACACTTCAGCCTTGGGGAAATGATCCTCTTAAAGCATTCCTGAATGCCAGAAATAATGGTTGCTGCAAAGTCAAAGGCTGGCTAGGCTCTTGAATTGCCTTCAGTTAGTTTGTCTGGGCATGCATTCTTAAGATTTTTCTATGAACAGCAGTTTGAGTTTCTGTAGGAAGTACCCTGCTGGCAAAACACCTTCAGCGATGTGAGGTGTGACATGTTCTAGGAGTTCTCAGGGGTTTCGGGGTGATGAGAACTTCAGTGAACAGCTAGAGTAAATTGGAATTAAATGCTGCTTGTCGTACTGCCCTGGTGGTCATCAGGCACTGTTCATGGTGATGGTAACTGTCTGTATTTCTAACAGAGTACTATACACCAAGAAATAAAGTGGCCTCTTTTCTCTTACTGTAGGTTGACAGCCACATTATGAAGGTTGTGCAACAAATAGTAAATCAAGCAAACTCTGGTCATCAGATCATCGTACAGAACGTCACCGTGGCAGAAAACTCTGAAGTAACCACAGATGCTGCGGACACCATCACCATCGCGACCCCTGAAAGCCTCACGGAACAGGTTGCTATGACGCTGGCTTCCGCCATCGGAGAAGGAGCAGTGCTGACGACGGAGGGTAGCATCGAGACGGAAGAAGCAACGGTGACGATGGTGGCATCCGAGGACATTGAAATAATGGAACATGCAGGAGAGTTTGTGATCGCCTCCCAGGAGGGGGAGGTGGAAGTCCAGACTGTGATTGTGTAACAAACAGCATGTAGCTAGTGACAGATGTTAATGTAAAGCTTACTCTTTTTCTCCAGTTTGGGGAATTTGATCAGTCCTAAGTTTGCCATTGTAATTGTTCAGAGAGCAAGGGAGAGAATGCTTCTATAGGTAAGTGGCTTAACAGGACGGTACAGCCCTGAGATGTTTTCTGTTTAAAATGGAAATAACAGTATTAAAAAACCTCTGCATGGTTGTACTGTGGAAGTGACTGATACACCATATTTGACAGTCTCAGTATTTTGTACAGCTGCCTCAAATAAAGGAAGATCCTTCGCAAAGCACTTACCTCTGACCACAGGACAGTAGTGTTCTGGTGTTTAAAAAGATTCAGAAAGCGAAGCAAATGTGTAGGGTCTCATAAGGGACTACTTAATCATATGCATTTAAAACAAACCAAGAAAACCAAACCTAAGGAGTTGTGGTGTGCATTCACCACCACTCAAAAACTTTCATGCCTTTAACCTCACTACTTTAGTCCTTCTAAGGCATGGTACTGCAGTATTTTTCTTTTATATCCTGAACAAGTAGCCTTATGTACTGGTCTATAAAAGAATGCATCATTGTACCCTTGCAATGCCAGACAGGCTACTCTGAGAGCTAGTCTGTTGGTGTGTAAAGCCATATTGTATATGATTTTTTTTAAAACCATATATGGATTTTTAATTGCATATTGTACAGATTCGGCATGTAAATAAATACATTTTTAAAAATAAAGCTATTTAAAGTTCTTACTACATTTTTCCAATTTCTGCTCTATTATCACTCAAACAGAAGAGTTTCTGGAAAGAGAACTGGGCCGCTTAGCATTGTGCTTAAAAGAAACCCTCATCGGTGGGTGAGTCAAACACACTACTTTTCCCAAAACAAGCCCAAGGCTCTAAAAGCAGACAGTACATCTATGCTTTGGAGATATTTCAAGTGATCCCTAGTTAGAGGGATTTCAGAAGGTCACTTGCATAGCTGTAGGTTTACTTTTGTCTTCCGCTCTTGAGGGACACTGATGAATTGAGGGACACGCCTTTCAGTGTTCACCTTGAGAATCCCTGTACAGAAGTGGAAGACCACAGCACTGCTGTGCTTCTGAAGTGGCCCGTTCAGTGGTTGGAGGTGAGCAGCCCTAGAAACAGCCTCAGCAACTCTAACTTCCCCTGCTGCAAAATGCCCAAAATACAAAGAAATGCCTAAGACATGGTTGAGCTTCTTGCTGTGAGCAGATACATCGAACAATGGAATAAAGATGAGAAATGCCGGAAGGATTAAGTTTGTCATCTTCCACAACCTGTATGCCAGGAGCTCAATATCACATTTCCCATACCCTTTACAGGATGCTCAAATTCTGTCCAAAAGGCCACCATTTTCATGACTCTAAGGCTGAAATGGCATCTTATTTTGAAGAAGTTGAAAACAGGTACCAAGAGAGAGACTTAGCAGGTAAGGAGAAATAGCACTTGCGGTAGCTTCTTTTCTGAAATTACTAGTACAAATCTGCAGTATAACATGGTTTCTGCAGGTTAAGATTCTGCCAGTAATCATATTGTTTTCCAGCTAAATGCATACAACCTGTTCTACACATTGTTAACAGTAATGGATTAATCATTTGGTACTTACAAAAAGATGCTTCCTCAAAGTTCACAGCAGCTCTTTGTTAGCTCTTCCCTTGCAAATGCACGCACATAGAAAAAGATTCACTTCAGTAAGATGGACCAAACTTGCCTCTCCATACCAACAAATTCACTGCTGGTCCCTCTAACAAGGAAAAAAAGAGAACTAAGCTTAACCTCAGAGATCTCACCAAGTGAATTATCTTAAATAGTGCTCTGTGAGGCATCGTTAATCAGAATACTGCAGTCAGCTGTGAGTTACTATTTTCCTGCGGGGGGGGGGGGG